AAAGCGTCATTCCGGGCCCGCAAGCCCAACTACCCCAGTATTCCCCCAAATCATTTTTTTTTATTACTTTTAATTTTTATTGTTTAATTTTACTTATTTATTTAAAGCCAGGATCTCATTATATATCCTTGGCTAGCCTGGAGCTCACTCTGTAGCCCAGGCTGGCCTCGAACTCACAGAGATCCACCTGCCTCTGCCCCCAGAGTGCTAGATTTAAAGGAAAGCTCTGCCACTCTCGGCTCGCGCCTCCCCCCCTCGGCTCTCCCATGCCCACCACCGGACTCACGCAACTGCACCAGCACTGGGGCACTGGTCACACCCACGCCAGCGCTGGTAGCTGCTGCCACCAGGGTTCGATAGAGCAGGCCTGGTAGCAGTCCTGGGAACATCACAGAGCGTGCCCAGCCTGCTGCCGATCGATTGAGGTGGAAGCGACTTTCATTACCCAGGCACCAGATCTGGGGAGACCGGGATATAAGTGTGGTCAGGAATTGAATTTAGGCCTCATGGAGAAACTTGAGGTTCCAGTCAGGGGGAACCCTTTTCCTTTCTCCCAAACTCCTCCCAAACCCAAAGTCAGCCCTAGGTTCCCTCCATCACAACTTTGGGCCCTAAGTCTCACTTCCCACACCCACATCCCCAGTCCCTGGCCCTCTCACCCAATCTCCAGCCAAACCCTGTACCTGGTATTCAATGATGACCCCATTTTGCTGGGAGGGAAGTGGAGGCTCCCAGGATACCGTGATACTGCTGTTGCCATTACCCCCCAAGGCCACAGCCACTCCCTGAGGGGGGCCACTGGGGGCTAGCCCAGGGTGGAACATGGTAAGAAGAAGGACACAGACAGTCATTGCTAGCTGCCCCAAGCTTTACTCTCCCTGCTCTTACATGAGGGAACAGAAAGGTATCCTCTCTTCCCACCCAGACACTTTGATGTTCAAATCCTGCCCCCACCTCCTCTCCAGTCTATGCATCACTCCAAAGCCTTCCTTACCCTCCTCAGGAATGCTCCTGGTCACAACAGGGCTTTCAGCCCCCAGTCCCTCCTGGCCTTGGACTTGCACCTTGATCTGGACTTGGGTCCCTGCGGGGAGTCCTCTTAGCACAGTACTTTGCTTGTGTGGATTTTGTAGGTCCAGCACTGTCCAGCTTCCCTGGTCAAGGCTTGCAATTCTCCAAGACACACGGAAACCTTGCACCAGCTGGACTGGGCCATCCACCTACAGGAGACAGGACAAAGTGTGTTCCAGGGCCAGGTGAGGCTAGTGTCACATAGGACTTCCAGGCCCAGCCCCTACTCCACTCATGCCTTCCCCAGCCACTAAGCTCTGACTCTCCCACACTCCTCAGATGCTCTCATGTCCCCCATCATCATCCCCATCTTTACCACATCCCCATGCCATACTCACAGTCCAGGACACCTGCAGAGTTCTAGGCCCAAGGACTATGGGCTCCTGCATTCGGACAGCCACTTCAGCTAGTCCTCGCTGGCCTCTCCATGGGTCCTCCACTGGCCTAGATAGGCTGCTGTCTGCTGACCAAAGAGCCCAGTCAGCAGGGGCCACCAAAGCTAGAAATTTGTACTACTGCTGTGTTTGTATTCTGTCTCTGCCTGACTCACAGACTGTACCACTCAATGCAATGCAGCATAGCACAACAAGGTTAGGGGATTCTTTTACAATGGTAATCTAGGGAAGCAACCAATGTGAATGCTTTTTCTGTGCCTTCTTTACTCAATGCCTTGTCTCTAATATGCACTTGATTCTCCCAAATCCTTCTTAGTCTTAACCATCTTTATACTATATATGGCTGAGAGACTCAATGGTTAGAGAGCTACTGAGGTGAGTGACTGTCGCATTCATCATCTTTCCCTCTTTTCTTTCTAGGGCCCTCTATGAGAAGGAAACATGACCTCCTGTTGTGGTCCAGGTCATCGGTATAGACCTGGCATATCAAAAGAAAATCCTGTGAACGGCCACCACTCTGTGGTTTGGATGGGAGGGTACTATTCCTTGTTATTGGTCATATCCACACCCATAAGGTGTCTGGCCTTACCCTGGGTTTGAACAGGCTCAGAGACAGGGCTGGGTTCACTGAGGCCCCAGGCTCCAACAGCTCGCACTAGGAACAGGTAGATGGTGTTGGGCTGCAGACCACTGATGGTGTGTGTTTCCAGCTGCACCCCATCTGCCACTGTCCTCCACGTGTTGCCAGCTGCTTGACTACAACAGGATGTAGGACTGTCTAAGCCAGGAATCCCCAACTTGTCTACTTAATCTCACCCATTCTCTGTGGGATCCCACTATTTCCTTACCTTGGGAGAGGGGACTAGAGACTCATTCTCCCAAAATAGCAAAGGCCCTAAGGACATAGGATCCCCTATTTTTAAGTCTCCAGATTTGTATTCAAAATTGTCTCTAGGGGTCTGGGGTCATGGCTCAGTTGGTAAGCATGAGTAAGCATGAGGACCTGAAGATCAGATCCCATGCACCCACCTAAAACCCAGGTGTGATACCATGCATCTGTAATCTTAGCATTCGCTGGGGGAGAAGGATAGAGATAAGCAGATCCCCAGAGATGACTGGTCATCCTGTCTAACCAAGTAGTAGGACCCAAATTCAGAGAAAGACTTTGTCTCACAGTCCTTGGGGGAGGTCACATGACACTATGCTGTAGCCTCTATGTGCACACGCACACATGTGCACGCACACTTGCAAGCATACATACACAGACACACGAAATGGTCTCCATACCTGAAGGCCTCTATCACGTAAGAGGTAGCTGTGGCCCCAGACTGTGGATTGGGCTTCCAGGTCAAGGTAATGCTGTTCTTGGTTACCTCTGTGACTACTGGCTGAGAGGGAGGCCCTGGAGGGTTACTGAGTTCAGTTGCAGGACCTGGTGATGCTCCCCAATCTTCTGCAGTGATAAATTATCATTAGCTAGAGGTGGGGGCGGGGAGTGTGACCTGCCTCCTTCCTAGAGAAGCTGCGGAGCTCTGACAGCGGTGATGGTTGAGGTAACATAGTATACTGACCCAGACTCACATCTGCCTCCCAAGTGCATCAGTCCATCCTCATCCCTACCAACGTGGTCATGGCATTTGGAAGATAAAATTAGCCCTGAGGCTTGGGAGTTATTAATTATTTTTTAAGCAAATTTGGAGAAGCTGCTGGCAAGACTGGAGAATGATGGATAAACTCACCTCGCTTCCTAAGCCAGCTATTCCATGTGGCCTCCCCCATGGAACTCTTGGCCACACAGCTGTAGAAACCCATGTCCATCTCCTGTAGGAGAAGGTAGAGTGCTGGCCCACTGGGAGTGGAGTAAGGTAGGGTGAAGGGGTGGAGAGGCAGGTTACAGAAGGATGAGGAAGATGCTGGATACTTTAGGAAGTCTGAGAGAGCAGAGAGGTAGAAATGGATTAGATGCCTAGTTGGTACTTACTAGAGTTGGAATGTGGACCAGATAGATGTTCTGTTACAAGGGCTCTAGGGGTGACACTAACCTGTACACTGGCGATGTATAGAGTGCCATTGTCCATTAAGGTGAGCTGGGAGTCATTCCCCTGCAGCCACCTCTCATCCTTCTTCCACTGGACACTGGGCTGAGGGTTTCCGGTCACTCTGCATGGCAGCCACACAGAAGAGCCAAGTACCAGTGTCTGGTTGGCTGGTCCCTGGAGGATGATGGGAGGCAACCCATCCATGGAGGCTGAGAGAGGAAGAACTTGGGTCAGAAAACCAGCCCTTTGTCCTTCTGCCTTACTTGTTTCATCATCTCCTCCCTCCCTCCTTGTTACCCAAGAGGACTTTGATACTCATTTCTAGTCTACCTGGGACCATGTTGCAAACATCAAGGACACCCCTCAGGAATATGCCCCATTCCTTTTTAGACACATTGATCAGCACCCAAAAGAAACATCTCTTTAAACAATGTCTTTGCAGACCATGGTTGCATTCCTCTCTCCATGGATACATACCTCCTTTTATCTCTAACAGGGCCTTGGCCAGGATGCTACCAGCCACACTGACAGCCTGGCACACATAGTAGCCAGCATCCCCGATCTGTACTTCAGTGATGTTGAGCTGGCCTCTTGGAGAGACTGAGAGGCGTCCCATGGGCTGGAGTGACTGACTAGGGAAAAGCAGGACCTGGGACAAAGCAAGATAAGGACTGAGTTGGGGGTAGAAAGCATTTGCACCAGCTGAGAAAAGCCCTAAAGTTCTAGTTTGCACTCTGCCTCCAGCCGTTGACATGTTTCTGGCCAAACTAGTTAGGCCAATTCACAAAAATGATAGGCATTTGCTAGATCTTGGGGTCCATGTGCCAGTTCTGTGTCTTGGTTAAAAAAGTCTAAGGAACTAAGCCTGAGATAAGACAGGAGAATCACAAGTTAGAGACCAGCCTTAGCTCAGAAAGTGAACCAACTGGGGTCTGGGGAAATGGCTCATCAGTTAAGAGCACTGGCTGCTCTTCTAGAGGACCCAGGTTCAATTCCTAACACCTGCATGGTAGCTTACAATTGTCTGTAACTCCAGTTCTAGGGGATATGTTTACATAGGGGATACGGTATCCTCACACAGACATACATGCAGGCAAAACACCAATGTGCATAAAAATAAATCTTGAAAAAAGAAAAAAATTAAAAATGAACCAACTAATTAACAACAACTAAAATAAAATCTCAGGGTCATTCATGTCTTTATGAGACTCAGTTTCCCCAAATTTGACTCTCAAAGCTTAGGGGTCAAACTCAGTAAGCTGAAATGAAGGAATCATATGAAAGTTTTATAAAACACTTTGATAAATGCTAAATATTTTCTGGCTTAACATTTTACTTTAGATGGACACATGGAAAAGACAAACAGACTAGAATGGGGCTCCGACTAACCTCCTCCTCCTCCTCCCTCCTACCATCACCACTCTCATCACATGAGGACCTAAGAAACATGCAGCAGTCACAAGAACTGGAGATGACAACTGTGGCCAAGGATTGGATTCCTGTAGTTTTTCTGTAGCGTGGGGATAATGGATTTACTATACTGACCCTGTGTCCCGGTAGCACAGTCTCTCTCTTGCCTTAGAGAAAGTCACTTAGGTTATAACTTCCATTCTCTTGGGTAGTGTGATCTGGAGTTGCTCACTGGGTAGAAAAGGGATGGCTGTGAGCCCTGCCTGTTGGAAGGAGCTATATATGGAGCAATAAATAGGGCATGTAATCTACCCTACTCAGCTTTAAGTCCTTCAATACTTGTTTTCCAGAACAGTTTTCATGCCCAAAAGCTATGGCTCAGAGGGCCTGGGGGAGGAGAAGCCTGGCTAGATCTCTATACTCTCAAAACAGCATTGGGCAACATAAAAACTCTCAGAAATTGCCACTCAGGACTGTTCTGCACCATCTATCATATTGCTGTGTTACCATTGAACTTTCCAAGTGTTCAACTGCCCTGGGCTATTTATCTTCATCGTTTTATTTAGCCCTCCAAATAACCTGCAATAGTTCTTGGGAGAGGAAGCTGGCAGAGAAGTTTGCAGAAAGTCAAGGGAAAGAAAGATCCAGAAAGAAAACAAATTGGTTAGAGCTTTGGAAAGGGCTACTTACTTGGCTCCCTTTATCTTCATCGTTTTATTTAGCCCTCCAAATAACCTGCAATAGTTCTTGGGAGAGGAAGCTGGCAGAGAAGTTTGCAGAAAGTCAAGGGAAAGAAAGATCCAGAAAGAAAACAAATTGGTTAGAGCTTTGGAAAGGGCTACTTACTTGGCTCCCTTCCTTCTGCCAGAAGATGGCAGGTGGGGGGTTTCCTTTGGTCTCACATTGGAAAGACACATTTTCTCCAGGAGCTGCTGCCTGGTCCTGAGGCTGAGTCACAAACTGGGGTGGCACTGGGAAGGAGAGAAAGGCAAAGGAGCGGGGACTCAGTGGTAGGAAGTCCAAAGCTGGCTTAATGGAGCAGGCGCCCAGCCCTTGCTCAAATCTCTTTGGCTTCACCTTCTCCCTCCTTCCAGAAGTCTCAAGTCATCCTCCCACACCTCCTGTTCTGCACCTTCTCCCCACTCTCCTCTAGCCATTCTCTCCCCCCCACATTGCTCATGCAAGCTGTCCCAGGAGCCCCCCCTCCTACAACGTCGTTGCAAGCTGTCCTGGGAGAAGCCCTCACCGTGAACACTGAGGGAACCAGATGCCTCCACACGGCCCACACTGTTCTCTGCCACACAGGTGTAAGTCCCCTCGTCTTCAGAGCTCACTCGGCCGATCCAAAGGCTGTGGTCACTCCGGATCTCATACCTGCTCCACTCCCCACCCCAAGCTGGGTTGGCCACAGCTACAAATCCATTCTTTCTCCCCCAGGACAAACACCAGGGTCAAGATAAGCAAGGCAGGACTCAAGTGGTACACAAGATAGTACCCACTATGTGGAATAAGTTCGGGCAGGGACCCCTAGCTCTGGGAAATAGATTTCTCCGTGCTAGTGTCAGGTAGGATCTAGGGCTCCTTGGGTCTCCCTGCTGTCAGAAGGAAGGGGCTTCTCACCTGCCAGTGGGCAGTTCACCATCATCCTTGCGCCATCGTAGACTGGGCTGGGGGTCTCCCTGCACCTCACACAGGAAATTCACAGGGGCATCAGCCAGGACGACCTGGTTTATTGGTCTACGCAGAAATGAGGGACGCTCTACAGAGTGGGAGCCATTGAACTGTCAGGGGTTCTGAACAGCTACTTGCTTACTGGGCTACCCACTCCCCTAACTCCAAAGTGCCCGATGCCTACCCAGTACCACAAGTTCAGCGGCCCCACTTTCTCGTTCTCCAGCCATGTTGGAAGCCACACACATATACATCCCAGCATCACTCTTGAACGTGTGTGACATCATCAGCTTTCCTCCACGTATCTGGAGAGCACAATGGTAACATTGGTCCTTTACAACCATCAAAATGTGTTTGTGTGGGGGAGGGTGCATGTGTGTATATAATTTCTTTGGTTCTCGTAAAAAGCCAATGAAGAAAACCAACGAAATTGATTCATGTGTCAGGTACAGACTCTCTGGGGCCTTATGGTGTTTTCTCTCCACTTGTTTTAATGGGGTGAGGGAGAGTTGAGACAGGGTTTCTCTGTGTAGTTCTGGCTATCCTGAAACTCTGTTTGTAGACCAACTGGTCTCAAGCTCAGGGATCTGCCTCTAATCACAAATGCTGGGATTAGAGGTGTGCACCACCACATCGGGCTCGATCCACTTTTCTTACCTCAGATCTACCCTATATTTCATTGAACAACACCAAGACATTCTTCCCAGGCCCTACCTTTCATTGAACAACACCAAGACATTCTTCCCAGGTCTCAAGACTTCCTCCTTTAAGACTCATTGCCTACATGCATGTGCATGTGTACACACATACACACACAGACACACACACACACACACACACACACACATACACACTCACAGTGATCCTTCCCTCCTCTTCCTTAAGTTTTGCTTTGCCCTTCTTCCAGGTCACCAAAGGCTCTGGGTGGCCCTTAGGAGGCACACATTCCATTACTGCAGGCTCCCCCACTGCCACCACCACGTTCCCAGGCGATTGCCGGAAATCATCACGGAGGACTGAAAAAAGACAAGAGGCCATGTAGAGAAAGACCAGAAGAATAAACAGAGTGGTGTGTTTTAATTGGATGCTAACAGGAGGGACTGTCTTGGAGGAGGGTGGAGTCCTAAAATACCAAGTCAACCCCACTTCCTCCTCCAAGGTCAGGGTTTGGCGTTAGAGACCTTTGGTCTATTTTAAAAAAGTATGCTGAGTGGGCCAAAGATCCCCGAGGCCGACTCTTTGTAGGCCTTCCTGCCTGCCCCAGACTCAAGAAGCATTAGCTGACCCGACTCTCACCAGCTACTTCCAGAGAGGCATTTCTACTAGCAGCTGTTCCCAGGTAGTTGCGAGCCACACAGGTGTAGACACCCTCATCTGGCCGAGAGCGGCGCCCATGCACGATGCGGGGGAAGAAGAGGGCTCCGCTAGGCAGTAGCAGGCGGTGAGCGCGCGGATCTTCCCGCGCAGTGGCCACGCGCGCCCCGTTCTTGTACCACTCGATGTTGGGTCGAGGCCGGCCTTCGGCGCGACAGGGCAGCGTGGCCGGCTCGCCCCTGGAAACCAGCAGATCTGGCGGCTGCTCCACAATGCGGGGCATGGCATCCTCAGGCCCAACTCTTGACCCTGGAGAAGGAGGTGGTTCAAAAGTGCCCAGGCAAGGCAACTGGGGGAAAGACCGAGGCTCTGGAAGGTAATAGAACCCCCTGTCTCGCTCATGTCCCATGCTCCTTTGCTAGAGTGCCCTCCACATCGCCATCTGCCCCCCACCTCCCCGACCCTAACCCTATAGGCTCTGTCTTAGCCTGGGAATGTCCCCAGATAGGCCAATTTATAGAGGGATCCCGGCACAAACTACCAGAAAGTCTTTCTGGGTCTCCTTGAGATCGCGACCTCATTTCCTAACAAGTGTAAATGGGGGTGAGCCATGGCTTGGTGAGGAACCTGTGTCCTCGTAGTTTGGTTTACACACACACACACACACACACACACACACACACACACACACACACACACTGGTTCACGTATAATTCTTGCTCAGTGAGCAATCATGCACATTGTACCACAGCAGACACTGAATTAACCTCTGAGTGATCCCTGGTCCCATAGGGGAAATGGACAAGGTGAATTGTCTTGGGTCCTTCATTTAAGAAAAGGTGTTAAAGGCTGGGACTAAGACTACAAAGGGTTCTTAATTTGAAGGCTATGAGGCCCTAGGTAACCTCGTTTTTATTTACAGGGATCCCGTGACGTCAGGGAAATGAAACGTAGTGGAAGAGGAAATGTGAGTAGGGTTGCTTTTCCTGAAAGGCACAGTCTTAAGAAACGGGAAAGAAATGCCTCTTCCTCCTCGCTGTCTTGGATCAGTTTATCTGTAGGTTCTACCCCTGCCTCTCTCGGTCTACAGACTTCCGTCCGAACCTGGTTCATCTCCTGCCTCAAGTTTGGGATCTAGGTGTCATCCCCATCCGCAAATGTTCCCATGCCCACGCCCCCACTTGTATCGCCACCCTCACTCCCGCCTGGACAGGATGGGTAAATATCCACGCCAAGCTTATTTCGACCTTTGGAAATTATTTCTAACCCGCTTCTGCCAGTAGGGGGCGATTCAGCCTTGCACAATCTGGTGTCCTTAAATAACCAGGGACTACTGGGCGCATCTGTTCTGCGCCTCTCTCTCTCGCCCCCACTCCGCCTACCCTGTTCCAAGATCATCAGGGACCTCTTGGTTCCTAGCCCAGTGGGGGATTAGCTTTCGTTTCCTGCCCTTCCTTTTAAGAGTTCTGGTAGAGCAAGCTGGGCCATGGCTGGTGCAGGCTCTGTCCCGGTAAAGTGATTTGACTGCTTGGGATAAAATCAGTTTCTCTCCCACGTACGGAAGAGAATAATATTCTCAGTCATCTCCCTCCCAGATGGAATCTCTGCTGCTCACACATCTCTCTTCTCCATTCTATCCAGTCCTGATTTGGAAACACTCTGTTGAGAGAGGCTCCTGGTGTGGCTAGAGCCCAGATTTTGATTTTGAAATCCTCTGAGCGGGAATCTCAGATTTTGACACTTCCCAGAGGTAATACTTTGGACAAATTATTTGACTTCAGCCCAGCGGTGGCCCATGCTTGGGGTGTGGAGGCATTTGAACCAGGAGTTCAAAGGCTGACTGGGTTACATAGCCAGTCTGGGGCTCAATAAAACAAAAACACTCACACGTATGGATTTCACTTCTCTATCTGCAATGTTCAAAACCCACGAAGAATGCACAGAACATCAGTAAGTATGACAAGTTTACCGTTATTGAATATCTGTCCTTCTCCAGTACCTCAATATGGTCCCTACAGTCTCTACCTGAATGAGACTCCAGACTCTAGTATTTGCGTCCCCACCTCACCCCCCTCTTCACAAACCTCTCATGTGCAATGAAAATACATTCAAGTTCCCTGCTGCCAAGATTTTGCTCTACGCTGCTTTTGTGATCACTGAGATATTCTTCACCCTCAATGACTGTGTTTTCCTAGTGGCAGTGTGTGACTGTCAACATCTTTCTTACATTTCTCACTGGTGTTTCAAGCTTGAAAGAGATGTTTGATGTATAAGCTCTAGGTGAGTGGAACTTGACTCTGGGACATCTGAGATATTCTTCACCCTCAATGACTGTGTTTTCCTAGTGGCAGTGTGTGGCTGTCAACAACTTTCTGGTGTTTCAAGCTTGAAAGAGATGCTTGATGTATAAAGCTCTAGGTGAGTGGAACTTGACTCTGGGACAAGAGTAAAAATAACTCTGACTAACCTCTTGGGTGCAAATATAAGGAAAATTGAAGAAAGTACTTTATAAGAGACACAATATATACATTTAAGTTTTTCCTTATTGTATATACTATTGTTTGTAATTTTAAAAAGTATATCAACCATTAAGAAATAAAGATGACTGATGAGTATCCTGTCTACAGAACAATGTGCATGATATAGGAGAAAAAAGAAAAAGGAATTACTGTACTGGTTTTAAGTATGAAAAGCATTCATGTTGATACCTAAAATCATATATTTATACATAAATATTATAGATAGGATAAAGGAAAGGAAAGAGGGAGGGAAGGAAGCAGAGAGAGAGAGAGAGAGAGAGAGAGAGAGAGAGAGAGAGAGAGAGTTCTCAGAAGTGGAGGGTAACTAGAGGGAGGAGTCCGGCCCACTAACTTGACTTCAACAGAGGCTTCCCAAAGGGAGAGTTCCTGGCATGGCCAGCAGGGGGCGTGATCGGGCCTCTCTCCCGGCTGCCTGAGGCGCTCAGGGAGGCAGCTCTGTCTCAAGTTATTTATTAATCACCGTAATTAGCGGTAACGACCTCGCCGCCACTCTGCCAGGATGGGTCAGCTGTGAGCCTCACAGGGGATACAAACTTAGCTCTAAGTTTCCTTGAAAAGATCTCTGACTCCGTCCCATCTGCAACAAAACACCTACGAAATTAAGGCTTTCTCACCCTTGCTCTCTGAGTGAGTTTTCTGAAAACTTCAGGTCCTTGAAGTGACATCCGCTGTTTGGGTGGATCACCTAATGGCCAGTTTAGCTCTGACCTGCTAGCGATTGTGTTCCTGCTTCTGCCCTACTTTTAGCCTGGAATTTGCACACCACCAACCACTGTTCTGTCACCTAGGGTGGGTGTGGTGGGTGGGTACTAGGAGAGACAGGGGGAAAGGGACCCAGAAGTCCTCTACCACAGGCAGACACCCCAGTCAGATGCTCCTTCGGGACTCCATTCCCCAGAGGGGCCCTGATAGGCACCCCTGGGTCCTGGACTTAACGGAAGGAGCATTTCAGTCTTCCCCTCCATGCAGTCCTCTCTGTCTCCCCATCCCCAAATCCCAGGTCCCCATCGGGCAGTCTCACCATTGAGAGAGGAGTTTCCAGGAGGCAGCAGGCTAGGGTTGAGCGCTGCCAGAGAAGAGTTGAAGCCGAAGAGCAGCTCGCTGGAGTTAGAGATGTCTCCCGCCAGGGAGTCAGCGAACAAGTTCATCTGCAGTAGTGTTTTAAGCAGGTAGCGCAGCATGACGCGGCCCGCCTGGTTCCTGGGCGGGGGGCTCGGAGCCCAGCCCCTGGGTCTGGGACCCACGGGCCGGGAGAGGCAGGCCCCTCCACAGCCTCT